AAGTCTCTGTCTAGTTAAATTGACAGCAGCTTCTATTTCAGCCCTAGGAATATGATCAATTTCAGTTTGTATTCGTTGAATTAGATCTTCTCTACTTACAGGCTGAGTTTGGTAAACTAAATCTTTAAGTCGACCCCACAAATAAAAATCTAATACGGTGGTGAGGTCGGGAGATCTTGGTGGCCATGGAAATAGACTACCTCTTCCAATCCACCTATTCCGAAAATGTTGATTTAAAAAGTCTTTTACATTATTTGCATAATGTGCTGGGCAGCCATTCTGCTGTATCCACATATTACGGCGTACCTCTAGTGAAATATTTTCTAATAAAATAGGCAATTCGTCTCTCAGTAATCTTAAATATCTCTCACCATTTAAATTTTCATTAATAATAATACGACCTATAATTTTACCGTCTAAAATTCCACACCACACATTTACTGACCACCGACCTTGATTAAAAACTTCTCGCATCCAATGAGGATTGTGGTCAGACCAGTAATGCATATTATGCCTGTTTACAGATCCATTACTGGAAAATGTAGATTCGTCGGACCACATTATGTGTGATAAAAATTGTGGATCCTCATTAAGCATATTCTTAAGCCAATTACAATAATCCAGTCTTTTACCTTAATCTGTTAATTTCAGACCTTGATGAAGGGCTACATGGTATGGATGGAGACGATTTTGTTTTAAAATAGAACAAACGCAGTACCTAGTAAGTCCTAAGTCGGAAGCAACTTTCCGTATACTTATATGTGGATTTGCAGCAATGTATGCTAATATATTTATTTCGTTAATTCCCGTTCTGCTTCTTCTACGTCGTTGAATAGCTTTTTTAGGTTGAACACAGCCAGTTTCTTTAAAACGAATCGACAGATTTTTAAATGTTTCTCTTGTTTGTAAAACTCGCTGAGGATATATCAACGCATTGTAATGAAGTCAATTTTCATTACTATATTTCGGCCTATTCCGGATATAAATTTTTATTTTTATTTTATTTAAACTTCATGGGTAGACCCTGTATATCAAATTTTGTTTCATTTAAATTCGCGTATTATACCTGAGTAACGATAGCGCGCGCGATCCGCGCACATCAAGTGGGGAGCTAGCCTGCTTGGGCATAGACTCGGATTCAGATTTGATTATTAAAAATCATTCAATTCACGTTACTGATTCGACCAGCTTAAATTCATTTATCCGACCTCGAAAAGTCTGCTGTAAAATCATCGCCGAAACCGTAGTTAGGTACACCGAATTTGTTTACGTTTTTTTTTTCCTGTCGTCGGTTCTTGAGCTAAACGTCCGAATACCAGTTTTATTTGACTAAATTATTCCGATTTCGATTTTATTTAATAGAAATAATAATTGACTTAAGATTTTCGTTTAAAATATTTTGATTTACCGATAAATTATTTACTTTTGATTTTATAAACATTGGAAATTAGTTTTGGTTATTAGGAAGTAGAAATTTTGTTTCTATTTTATTAATTACTTAATTTTTATTGCGACCGCGGATTTTGTTTCTATTTTTTTTAGTAATAATAAATTTAAATTTAAATTAAATTCCGTATATAGTTAATTACTTAACTTTTACTACGACCGTAAATTTTGTTTCTTTTTGTTCACAATCTGGTTTAATTTTTTTTTATTATTTATGTTTCTTTACTTGGGAATAGAATTAGTTCGAAAGTTGGAAAGTTGAAATAGTATCATTTTTCATGTTGAGTGGACTGGTTTTGGCGAGAAAGCTCACATGGGATTAGATACTATCCCGGTTTTAGATTTTTTTTAGATTAACCCCTAGCCGTGATTAAAATATTAGTGTTTTTCTTATGTTTGAGATTGCTGGTTTTGGCGAGTACACTCATCATAGGATAAATACTGACCCGGTTTAATATTTTGTTTTATGTTTGAGTGGGCTGGTTTTGGCGAGTACACTCATCATAGGATTGAATACTAACCCGGTTTTTGATTATTTTTAGTTACCTCCGCGCCGTGATTAAAATGATAGTATCATTTTTATGTTGAGCGGGCTGGTTTTGGCGAGTACACTTCTCATAGGATTGATACTATCCCGTTTTCTTACCACATTTATCTATTCCCTATTCAATAACACAAGAAGGTTTGTTTCAGTTTCAATACCGACTAGATAGTTAACCAGATAACTTTTTCTACGACCGTGATTTTATTTCTACTTTTACGAAACAAAATATTTAACTTCAATCTTATTGCCGATTTAACAGTTAACTAGCTAACTTTTGCTACGACCGCAATTATTTGCCGTTTTTCTCCTTTAACTAAAATAGTAATTTTGTTTTTGGTTTCGTTTTGGCTCAACCACCGAACCGACAATTTATTAATTAGTTACTATTGCCACCGAGCATCTTTCTTTTAATTTTAATTATACCGTCTGATTGAGACTAATCAAAGCCGATCTGTTTGTTTTCTTTTTGTTCAGGGTTTGAAAAATACGAGCGGGGGTGGGCGTTGAAATATTTTTTTTTTTTGTTGTAAATAGTTAAAATTCAATATATGTGTCAACGTTACCTTGACTGTTACTGAGGTTACTGATCCCTAATTTACTTCCCCCTTTATTTCAGCAGTGAGAAATTCTTTATCACCACAAGTAACGATTAAAGCACGTTACTTGTGGTTACTTATTACCTGTGTCTGAGTGACCAACGACCCCTGGAATTTTTCATCTCCATCTGTGCTGCCCGAGTACTTTCGACGCCGTTTCGAAAGTTTGTGGAGTAAACCACACATAAAATCTGGCGCCCGAGAGCCGTCCGTCAACAGGCGTCATTTGTAGGTTATCGTTTTCTCTGAGGCGAGAAAACCCCGTACAGCATATTCTCTGGATGCAATCGGGGCGTTCTCAAAACATTCAAAATGTACTTTTAACATGTCATAAGCTTCGGAATTACTGTAAGGCATGATGTTTTTTAACTTATTAAAATATAATTAATTTGACATTTAAGCTTACTGACATTTCAAAGCCAACTTTATTAATATATCAATAACTTTATTTATTAATATTTAAGTGGACTATTCACCCTTAATAGACTTTTGCTTATATTCGGTTAGGAAAAAGATAAAAAGACGCGGTTTTTTTTGTTTCTTGTCAGAATTTAATTCTCTTTCTAAATAACGTATAAAAATTATAACATTCCATTTAAATTTTTCAAGAAAACTTCAAAAAAATGGTTACTGCTTATACAACGCCACCTAGTGCTCTTTTAAACAACTGAATCAGAACTATTTTGAAATATTTTACTAAACAATCAATTTGCTTTTAATCAAAACAAAGTTTTTTAAAATCTGATAAACGACACCGTAGTTATAATACATTTATTAAATTAAGGTTCCCAATCGCCCCTACCTGTTATTTTATTGAATAGAGCAAAAAGTGTTGAATAAAACTTTTGTAAAATTTAATCAAAATTACCGTTCGATTATTATTATCATCATCATGTGATGAGCGCAAGCGCAGCCACCATGTTGAAATAGCGGTAATTCAAAAGTTTCGTACTGTTTTGATCGACAATGGCTGGGAAAGCAATGTTATCTCTACAGAAAAATTAATCATTAGAAAAAATCGTTGATAGTGAATAACTTTTTTATAACTCTGTGGAAGCGCATAGTTGTGAGCAGTTGAAAAGGAGGTTGAAGTGTCTTGGATGTTTGTTACAAAGGAACAAAGTGGACTAATTGAGAGGTTAGGTGTATCAATACTTTTTAACTCTGTAAAAAATTAATAAAAACAAATAATAATTATAACTTTATTCTAATTAATTATGCCAACCAACTATTACTAAAAACACTAAAACACTTTAATTAGCATGAAAGTTAATCACGAGTATAATTAATAAAATAAATTATTTATTATTTTGAGGATCAACATGACATTTTTAATAATTTAATGTGTATACCGAAGTAGTATTTAATATTAAAGAAATATTGTTTAATACCACATGCGAATTTTCTTCTGTTGGACCACTTTCTCCATGAAAATGCAGTGAAATATAAGTATCTTTAGTAACATCATTAATCCATCGAAAACCGTTGTCACTTCGACCATATTTTTTCACACTTAATGCACATTTCGAATATCTTTTATAATGGATTTTGCCTGATAATTGTTTACGATATTGCAGTTAAGGCTTTGGAAAATTTATAAAATAATATCTATTGCCTTTGAATGATTTATACCGTGTGTCACTTTTACATAACAACACTGTTTTGTTATTCCTTTCCGTACAGATAACATAATTATAATTGATTGTGAAAATGTATTTTTCAATTAAGACACTAAACTTATTATTACTTTACTTTTTTCTTCCTTTTTTTAAATGAATATAGACTTAAATTAATATTTATCAATTATAATTTTTTTCACGTAAGCATTTTAACATACTTGTTTACAAAAACAGTACGAAAAAGATGGCTGAAACTGACGCATGCGCACAAAAAAAATTGTGACGAAAAGGTCTATTATTAGACATTTATAGGGGAAAAGTGATTTTTTTGAATTACCATAGCGAATTACGCCCTCTAACGGTTAAAATAGAAAGTTAAAAATAATTTCCAGCATTTTCTCTTGACCGTTTTTGTTATAAATTTTTTTTTTTTCGAAGCCGTAGGATCAATAGTTTCTGAGATACAGCCGCTACGAGTCCTTATTCAGACACCCTGTACAAACCGGCAAATTCATAATCTTGCTGCTGTGGGTTTTAAACGTCACGCAGCTTTCATCATTTATTAATTTATCTAATCTTATGATAACGCATTAAAACATTCGGTATACTGATAATGCTGGTTTGTATTTATTTACTTATTAATATTTTAATTATTTAAAACAGTGTCAAAGTTAACTATATGAAAAATATGAATTTTCGGTATGTACGCTTCGAATATATCACCAGATTAAGAGTTTGTTTATGTATCACCCCACACAAAAAATATATTAGAATAGAAAAGGAAAAGTTAGTTACTTTGCTTAAATTAACAATTGCATTAGTAGGCGCGTTTTCTTGCGGAAACTCTGGCGAAGCGATTATCAGTTGGGGACTAGATGGCGCCTGAAAAAAACATGCACGCCAATGTTCATCCAATCATTTTCATATAAATGCAAAGTATATCATTTTTTGTTTTTATTTCGAACACAAATGGTTATTCTTTGACATTAGGAAATTCAAATTTATTAAACTTGCTATATACTTTTGAAAAATATTTCAAATACAACATTTGTAATATATTTATAATTCGTTGAATATTTCCTGCTGACATATTAATATAAACCTGAAATGTAAGATCAGAATGGTTGCAAATTGAATCATTACCTTCTATAAATATTTATAATTATTTCAGTAACTGTAATTTTATCTTAAAAAATATGTAGTCATTGTTTTAGTTATTTTTACGCTCTAGATTAAAATGTAGACAATATTTCAGTATATAGCTATTTTTTCAACTGCTAATGTCAAAGGATTTACCAGTTGGTTATATGTTTAAGAAAATGATTACATTTTAAATAAATAAATTATTTAAATGTAATATAAAAAATTGAATATAAACAAAAAATAAAACAAACACAAATCAGCACATGCCCGAATAGCTTAAAAAAATCTACTTACAGTATTTGATTGAGACGTTCTAGCTGTGGGAATAGCGGATAACTTGTGTTGTAAACTCTGAAGCTGAGCATCGTATTTGACGTCGTTTTGGGGCGTCGAAGCTTGACTAGCTTTATTGGAACTAGATAAAAATAACAATAAAATCAGCATTCTAATGGCTATTCATGTTGCGGGATTTCGCTCTGCTTGTCCCGCAAATATTACCTCGTTACATAAAAAAAGACAATATTTTTTCTAATTTTGACTAGACTATAAAATTGTGTTTTGGTAAGAAATTACTTACATATAGGCAACCAATATTACTTTCTTGTATTATTAGTTGTAAATAATTAACTTGATTCTTTTATTGAAAAATAGAAAATCATATTAATTTATTTTCAACAACTTGTTGTAGTGTGTATTTTGGAGTGTTGTTTTAATTATTTTGTGCAAAAACTAGAATTGACAATAAGAACCAAAACAACATTATTACTACGTTGTAAGTTTAATTAAATTCTATTTTTATGAGTCAATTTGCCCTTCTTTGATATAAACTTTCAATAATAATGTATATTATTGATTTTAAAACCAAAAATATTTACTTTTATTTTTCTTTTTGTAATCAAGTTTCACAATGATTAAGATTATGAAACTGGTTGCGTAAAGTAGATCATTTTGACACTTGCTGCAATTGCAAAAAATATTACTTTATATGTCAAAATTAGAAAAAAACTGTTTAAGTCACTATCATTGAGGTATAGTTCTTCCATTATCAACTGCAGATCATAAAAACTCGTTCGGAACCTTTACCGACAATTTTGTTTGATCTGCCATAGGCGTAGATACCTACCTCATTTTATAAATTTATTTTATTAATACTTTTAATATATATCATATGCAAGAAAGTATTCGTTAAAAGGAAATCGAATAATTATAAATTGGACGTTATTATACGCCCTTATTTAGACAGATGCACTTAATTGTAATCTTACTTGTGCTTAAAAAAAATCATTATAGCTCGTTAACTTGTTACAACTGAATATTAAATTATGAAACGTAAAAAAGCGAGTAAAGTGTACCTGCCTGTAAGGGCGTTTGGTTTAAATAGGGTACCAGACGTGAACTGAACCCTTTCTGTACCCCATTCGTTCTTTTTCTGGAAAACGAAATTTCAAAGAAAAAACCATAAAGGAAAATAAATTCTTTGCAAATAAAACAAAAGAAAAAAAAAACAATCAATTCTAAAGTATCTTTATAAATAATCATGGCAGTCGGAATCCTCTGAACTAGAGTCATCATTTGGTTGAATTATGATGGGTTGTAGAGAGGGTAATACTACATACTCATCTTCTTCTTTGATAACATGTTCAACACAGTTTTTCCAAAGCTCTTGGCGGTCTGCTGCTAGAACTTTCTTTACGAGTTCTACAACTTCTTTACTCAGTTCTGGAGACTGATTACATTTTCGTAATTCTGATTTTAAGTTTGCCAATATTAACTCTATAGGGTTAAATATGCAATAGTAAGGAGGTAGTCTGAGAAGAGTTTGCACAGCTTGTCAATATAATACATTTTTTCTAACTTTATACCTTTAATAACAGTAAGCAATTCTTTGTTTGTTGGTCCTTTTTTACTTTCCTATCTGTATACAGATATAAGTAAAGTATAGGAATCATGATTTTTTTCGACCTCGAGTTTTCGACGGATTTTTACGTTTTGAGGTCCCCTGAATCCGTTTTGACTATTTTCGCGATGATGTCTGTGTGTGTGTGTCTGTAGGTCGCATAACTCATGAACCGATACACGGAAAAACACCAAATTTCAAACTTAAGCTTTATTCCAGCGTCTAATGAGCTGATTAGATTTTGGGCAGAGTCGGAACATCTGGGGGGGTACTTTATAGGTGGTCATTTTTATATTTTATGGAATATATCTGTTATTTACGTTTGGGGAAGAAAATTTTTTAAATAAAAGTTACTTCTTATTTTATTATCTATAATTTTTGTTATTTACAAAATTTTCCTAAAATGGTCCGTATTCGAGAAATTTGACAAAATGTAAAAAAATATTTTTTTTTTATAAAAATTGTTCAAACAAAAGTTGTTTGTAATATAATTCTCTATAATTTTTGTCCCATAGATAATTTCCCTAAAATGGACCGTATTCGAGATATTTGAGAAAATGTGTAAATTTCGAAATTTGAAGAAAACTCAAAAACGGATAAAGAAAAAATCAATAAATTTTAAACTTAAGTTTTATTTCGGCCTGACGTGAAGTGATTAGATTTTGGACAAAGTCGGAACATCTGGGGGGGGGGGGGGGGTACTTTATGGGAGGCCGTTTTTATATTTTATGGAATATATCTGTTATTTATGTTTGGAGAAGAAAATTGTTCAAATAAAAGTTACTTCTAATATTATTATCTATAATTTTTGCTTTATGTAAAAATTTCCTGAAATGGTCCGTATTCGAGAAATTTGACAAAATGTGCAAAATTCTGATTTTTATGAAAATTGTTGAAATAAAAGTTGTTTGCGATATCGATCTCTATAATATTTGTTCATACATAATTTTTTTTAAATGGACCGTAATGGAAAAATTGTAGGAAAAGTGCTAAATTTAAATTTTTCAGTATTTTCATTTTCAATGAATATCTATAGAAAAATGTTTCGCGGTAGATGTATGTGGACAATGTATATATTTAGTTTATCCTCTAAACATTTATAGAGATGCTGCAATAGGTTGTACACAATAAAAAGAAAAATCCTGTAATAACTAGATAGGAAAGTCATGTGTTGGACACATCAGATTTTTAGTATCACTGGCAGGAATAGGAATATTTTTTCAGACATAAAAGCTAAAATTTGAGCTTTTTTACTGCTACTATTTGGTATTTTAAGGAGTTGCCGCGAGTGGTAGGATGCGTTGTTCATAACGATTACTGACTGTGGTGGAATGTAAGGTAAAAGCTGTTCATTAAACCGTTTTTCAAATAATTCTGCTGTCATATCTTCATGATAATCAGCTGCACAGTTTTTAATTTGTTTAGCAGATAATAATAAAGCATTAGGCACGAAACCGTCTTTGCTTCCAGCGTGTACTATTATAATGCGTTTCCCTTTAGAACATGGCCCATTCAAACAGCAATTTTTACTACTGCCAACCCAACCGAAATTTACTACATCGTGACTGTCAAACCATGTTTCATCTAGATAAATTATGTGTCTATTAGAACTTCTGTAGCCTTTTATCTAACGCAAATAATCTTGTCGCCATTGAACTATCCTTGACGATTCGGTGATTGTCATCTGTTTATTCAATTTTTTGTGTTTAAAACCACATGTCATGCTAACAAAACTTGATGCAATGTTTCCAAACTGGTATAAGTGTATCCTGGAAAATCTGCCACCTTTTGCTGTATTACTTCCAATGTCGGAACCCTGTTCTCCTTATATAAACCTAAATTATAGATGAGGATATCCAGAAAAAACCCCAAGCATCATCATAAAAAAAATTAATTATTAATCTTATGGCTAAACAGGCTAAACCAAATACAATACAATTTAATTGTTGTCGGGGAGGGACGACCATTATTATTTTCCATGGCGCTCCGCGGCAACTTACAGATGTCATTCAAATTATAAATGAGAACACTACGGAAGAATTCCACCCATAAGAATAAAACCTAATAAATAATTCACGTCAAGACTAAAGAAATACTATTCAAGTTTTGTTGTTTGACGTTTAAAAGTCAGAATAGTTTGAATGCTTTATTATTTTGTCGAATTTCCGAAGATTTCCGAAGTCAAAACAGATCGAGTTATAGAATCGCTTTTTTTAATTCGATCGAATTATGTGTCGAGTTACTCGACACAGAATAGAATGTCACGACTTTTAACGTCAAACAACAAAAATTAAATTGTAATTATTTATTAGTTGTTATGCTTATGTGTGGGGTTTTTCCGGGGTATCCTCATCTATAATTCAAATGACATCTGTAAGTTGCCTCGGAGAGCCATGGCAAATAATAATAGTCATCCCTCACCGGGTACAAACAACTCTGCATTTAGAGTTGCAAGGATCACTCATAATGGGTAAAATTATAAAAATATTATTATTTATTATTATTAGACTAAAGAAAGGATGAGTTACAAAAAAAGAAACGATCCTTTTGAACTTCCAGAAAATCGTCGTGGAGAACTTTTTCAGCTGAATAAAGAGAACCTATAAATATTTATATTTTGTATCGTTTTGTATAATAAATAATCCTTTTATTGATATTCCAAGGACATAAAAGACCTCTGTTGCACGATAGGTTATCCAGAAAAGGCATTGCCAGAGACATAGGTATGCCCTGAAAACTAAATTCCTTTCTTCCCTAAAGTTTTAAGCCACAGGCTTATTATTTAATCTCATTGACAGGTCATACCTAATGTCAGAATAATCCAACTTTAACGATTTGATATCGAATCGACTACTCGTTAAACGGAATTGCTTTTATGGAGTTTGATATCAAATTCGAGTCGAATCGTGAAACGGAATCCCACCCCTTGACAGTTCGAGAAGGTTAAAGCAAGCTATATCACTCGGTGATCCTGACGTCAGTCGGTCAGTTTTATGATAGACGTTATATGTTAATGTTATCAGTTGTATAGTTATTGTAAAAGTTGAGTTGAAATAATTTGAAATAACAAAAACCTGCGTATTTTACAAATGATTGCCTAAAAAAAAAACTAAAATACAAATGCAATTGTTCCCAAAGTATTTTTGAAAAAACATCCAGGAAGGAAATTTAACTGTATGTCTTATATGCTCAATGTTAACTACTTTTCATTACTTTTCCGGACATGACCGTCGGACTAGTCCAAAATTTACTTTTCATGAAAGGTCCCATCACTAGGTTAGTAAAATGGTACCAATTAACAGGTTAGTATTGGAAAAATTTATTTTTATATTTTTCCTATTTAAATAGTTTCTGGAGTAAAATATTTTACGGTAATTGTTTCAGATACTTACGGTTTTCTGTTATTTTATTATTGTTTGGAAATTCCTTTTTATACTAAGTATAGTTTAATTTTCCCATACAATACAAAAATGGTAGGAAACCGTATATGAAACTGTTGCATATTTTAACTAATAAATAAAGGCCATATCCATATCTTTTCAGATTTCCTAAAGATTCTGCAAGTCAGAATATCTAGTTGCAATTTGTAAATAGATGCGTTTGAAAATCTACAAAATATAGTGTTCTGTGCAAAGCATTTTGTTGAGCATTACACCGACCGAACATCATAAAATAAAATTTTATTCTATAACTAGTTCGGTTCTTCCGGCGTTCGCGAGACGGCTATTGCTTATTCCGAATAGCACTAAGTGTGAACAGAACATACAAGGGACTTTTATTTATCTTTTTATTACATTTGCAAAGATAGAACTATTTCACCAGGTTAACTGGCAATATCACTTGATAACTGGTTTTATATTGGTTTGACGTCATTAACCACATCAACCACATATTTTAAATTTAAATATTAATTTTAATTATTACCAATGATATTTAAAAGACCAAAGACGGCTCTAAGTTATTTGGCAATGATAAATTATCGTATAGCCGTTTTCCAGAAAAAACTGGGAAGAGTCCCTCTTGGAAAGCAAATATTTAAGAGCCACTGTACAGTTGCAATATTCCGCGCTGCAAGTTAAATTACGACAATTTCTAAATAAGATACATTTTTACCATTTAAAACGTGCATCGCAAATGGGAGCGTTTCGTTAGATGCATTAAATAAATATACGATTATCTATAAAGTAAACACTTCCCTTAAGGCAAAGTAAAAATTAAAAATCGCACCTCTCTAATATCTGATTGAGATTCTCCGGTACTTTTTTAACTGCGGCATAATTCTGCAGAGTATCGTCAACGGACATCGAATGCTGGAATCCGCCGTGTGATTGTTGCGCAGAAAAATTCTGCACGGAAACAGAAGTAGACATCTGATGTGCGGCATACACAGGTTGTTGATAGACGGCTTGCATATCAATGGGTTGACTAATGTTCATAACCATTTGTTGAGTGGTCGGTACTCCTTGTGAACTTGGCATTGTTTGCGATTTGGCCGGTTGTTGGCTTGCGACGATATGCTGTTGGGAAATAGGTGCGACTGATGGCTGTTGGTAGGTTTGAGGAACAGTTTGGATAGGTTGCTGTGTTATTTCAGGTGGAAGCATGGCTGGTTGACTAGTCATAGGAGGAATAGTTGTGTTTACACTGGTAGCTATCATATGAGATTGAGGACACTGAAAATGAATTTAAAGATAAGTGATACAAGATCTATTTTAGTTTTCAATAGTTGTTTTAGAATTATTGTTTTATTCGATTAAGTATTAGGACTTTTTGTTTATATAAAAAATCTCTGAATACATTTCGAAAAATGAAGAGCTTTTAAAGAATTGTACTAAATTAAATCAATTAAGCTGGTTTAAGTACCCTCGTGCATATAAACTACATCGAAAACAAATATAATATGAAACCCTCTATGGCACAGTTTAACAAAATGACATATATGAAGTAATCAACAAATGTCAAGTTCTACAAATTAGCTACAAAGGTAAGTAAATTGTTTTAGAAATTGATAAAACCTAACAAGTCAGCTGTATTGTCTCTAGAGGAATAATTTATGAGATTCAAGATGTTCATTATTTTTTCTGATTTTGCTAATAAAAGATACATTAACGTTAAAACAAAGATTGGTTTTGAATTCTTCGCGACTAAACACATGCCGAGGTGTACGAAAATATGGTTAAATAGTGAGAAAATATAGGCGTATTTTCTTTATATATTTTTTCGTCGATTTTAACAAAAAATATTTCCTGACAACTTATAATATAAAAATAGCATTATTGTAAACATGTTTCTGACATAACTGCACCGTAGTCCCAAATTTATTTAGTACATATCAGTAATCAAAGCAAAAGAAAATTGTACAGCCTTCGATATTTGTGCAAAAACAGTTAGTTTTGTTAAAACAATCCAAAAGCATACTTACAGACATCGGAACATCATGTTGTGGCACACTACTCGACAACGGCTGCGACAATGGCACAGATATTGGCTGACTTGGAATCGAACCGCTCATCACAAGTTGAGTTTGATGCGACAAGGAAGCACTGGTTATGTTCATAGGATGCGTGGGAGTACTCACGTACTGCTGCGGTAATGACACGTGTACGTAATTTTGTTGGGGTATCGAATTAGCGATACTGGTTACAATAGAAGGTTGGGGCTGATTGGTGTTCAAAGGTGGTAACTGAGTTTGCGGCAACGGCTGCTGAGTCTGCGGTAAATGCTGTTGCTGTTGATACTGTTGAGGTGGCGGCACAGATTGTGTTTGTGCTATTACAGGTTGTTGCTGAGGTAATTGTTGCTGATGTACTAATTGTGTCTGCTGCGGTACATGTTGTTGTGGCAACGTAGGCTGCGTTTGCGTCAAATGAGGTTGGTGTTGGACCAACTGAGGCTGCTGCTGTGACATCTGAGGCTGCTGCTGTGACATCTGAGGCGGCTGCTGCTGCTGTGACATCTGAGGCGGCTGCTGCTGCTGCTGTGGCATCTGAGGCTGCTGCTGTGGCATCTGAGGTTGCTGCTGTGGCATCTGAGACTGCTGCTGTGGCATCTGAGACTGCTTCTGTGGCATCTGAGGCTGTTGCTGTGGCATCTGAGGCTGCTGCTGTGGCAAAGGAGGTTGTTGCTGTGGCAAAGGAGGCTGCGATTGTGATAACGGAGGCTGCTGTTGAGATAACGGAGGCTGCAGGGGCAACTGTGACTGTGGTTGATGTTGTTGCAACAACTGTGGCTGCTGTTGTTGCGGCAATTGATGTTTTTGTTGTGGCATCTGTTGCGGTATCACCGGTTGCTGTGAAGTTACATGAGGCTGTTGTTGAGGCAATTGGTGCTGGGGTACATGCTGCTGATGCGAAGGCGGTAACATTTGTTGCTGCGACAATTGTTGCTGTTGCGTAAACTGTTGCTGCTGCTGCTGCTGCTGCTGCTGAGAAGTCACTTGCTGCTGTGGCTGTTGAGTCGGTATCTGTTGCTGTTGACTTGGCAACTGGTGTTGCTGAGTCGGTATCTGTTGCTGCTGAGTCGGCAACTGGTGTTGCTGACTTGACATCTGTTGGTGCTGAGACGGCAACTGTTGTTGAGTCTGTAATTGCTGCGTAGGTTGTGCAGGCAATGTTTGCTGCGGTTGAGAAGGCAATTGCTGTTGATTTTGAGTATATTGTTGCTGCGACGGTTGAAGCAACGGCTGTTGAGATGGCACTTGCACAGGTTGATGCTGAGTTTGTGGCACTGGTTGGTGACTTTGAGGTATTTGTTGAGTCGGAGGCAAGTTTTGAGTTTGTGGCACCGACTGTGGTGGAGCTTGTGTGAGTTGTTGGGGTTGCGACTGAGGTAAAGTTGATTGGGTTTGCGGTATTTGTTGATTAGATGGTGGTAATTGTTGTTGATGTTGATTTTGAGGTTGAGACGGTGGTGAAGATATAACATTTTGAGGATAATTTTGCTGTGCCGGTTGTACAGTTCCCTGAGATTGAGCGGGTCCTGTCTGAGATATAAACTGAGATGGAGACGGTTGAGGCGCTACAGCTGATGATTTTACACTTACATCGATACCAGAAGAAACTTTCTTTGAATCGGATTCTCCTGAATCTTTTTTAGGATGACTACTGTGTTTTAAATTATCCAAACTAATTTTTAATTGCTCCAAAGTGTTTATGTGTTCGGGGCCGATTTGAACTGGTTCTTCTTTACCACAAGTGCTTTCTTCTTTTAAAGAACATACGCTCATTTTAGGTTCTGGTTTTTCTAGCTCCATTCGTGTATGTTCCAGTGGAGCAGAATTCTTTCTTAAAGGTTCTGAAGAAGCAATTACATTCGTAGGAATGACTGATTTTACTTCAGTGTGTTGATGAGGAGGGATTTCTGTATGTTTCTCTATTTGATGCATACTCTCAGGAATATTCGGTGGAGTATTATCAGGGCCGAAATCTTTATCCTTAGGAAGATTTAATTGTCCCGATAATACGGGGCTCACCAAAAATCTAGAGATTTTTCTTTGCGGTACCCTTAAAGCCGGTTCGTGTAGTTTCTCGCTAGTGATTTCCATCTCTTGAGAGGATGATTTTTCGACCCTATCATCTTCGAGTTTCACTTCAATGATTCTTTCTTTGGGAGTCTCAGCCATGGGCAAACATTCTTCAATTTTAGCATCTGAATTCTGATCTACAGACATGACAAACACTTTCAAATTAACCTTTTGCCCAGGCACGGGTGTAAATTTAGGAGCGTCCTTCTGCAGCAAGCTATTGTTTAGTTCAGCTTTGAAAGCGTCAGTGTGATCAGTATTATCAGAAAGAGAACTTCTAGGCGGACTACCTGTTAAGGTTTTAGTTCCTAAGTCTACAGGAACACTAGACATTTCTAGGGGGACACTTTCAGTTACATAACTAACGTTAGTTTGCTCGAGATGAGTGGGAGGCTTATTGATTATGTAAGTGTGTTCGGGAGTGTATTCTGAAGCAGTACTAGTCTTACGCGATACAGTACCGCTAGAGTTGAGGCTTTCGCGACAGCGAAAGTTCTGGTAGATGTTTTCCGTTAGGGAAGTTTTGATGCCTTGGAAATCGTCTTGGACTGGAGCGGGATCGGCGTAAATCGACTTTACGAATGTCTGTCCACTGGAATCGTCTCTCTGTATATATAAAGATATGTTATGATGTATATATGCAACAAGAAATAAATGAATTGGTTGTGATTTGTAATAATACTGGATCTAACTTTTTTATATACCATTTCAATTTCTTCTCACAAAAAATATGAAATTGGTAAATTTATATTAAAAAATGTAAGGCGTTTAATGTTGTAACCCAAGTAATATTACTAGTCTTATCATTGTCCCACATAAATACAGGGCCACCGTTAAAGTCCGAAAGTCCGCATCATATGGGAATTTAATTTACGCAAATTTAGAGTTCCTGAATAGTTTTTGCTTCGAAATTAATAAAAAATGAGGTTGACGAATTTTTCTGCCGATCGGATATATTTGTCATAGTTGACATATTTTCAAAAAAAAATACAAAAATTTGGTTTTTCTCTCAAAATTTTAAAAAATGTTGAATGAAAAAATTGTTTCGAAAATATGTAAAATTTGAAAGATATAGTCGATCGAAAGAAAAAATTGTCAAAGTCATTTTTTATTATTTTCACAGCAAAAACTGTTATGAATTCTAAATTCATTTTAATTTTAAATGGCATATGTATTGGACTAAGTGAGGAAGGTTGGGGGTAATGGAGGGTATTTAATTGATAATTGTTCCATCATCAGGGGTAAATGGGGAAAAGGAGATATTAGTGAAATTCTGTTTATGTATTTATTTATATATTTATTTCTTTGAGTTTCAAAATCATAGATTTTCATAATAATTATTTTAATTCTTGTTTAGAGCATTTATGGATCAATTTTAAAATTAATAATGATACTTTCTGTGTTTGAGTGTTGTACAGACCACCGCGGGAAAATTTAAATCAAGCTATACATTGTTTAGATATTTTACCATCATACTTACAAGTTGTGATAAAAATTTTAATTCTTGGGGATGTTAATGTGGATCTTTTTAACAGTACAAATTCATTAATTTCGTGTTTTAATGCCCATAGCCTCACTCAAGTCATAGACGAGCCTACATACATTACTGATCACTCCTCTACATTAATAGATCCAATTTTTTTAAACTGTTACAATAATTGCACAAGCCATGGTACTATAAATGTTGATCACTTCACCGATCACCAAATGGTATATTGCGATTTATTAATTGATTATAGTTATCAGAAACAAAGATTTATAGAGATTATCAGAACTTTGATTCTTCAGTTTTTTGAGCAATGCCTACGCAGTATTCATTGGGATAACCTTCTGTATCTTAATGATATTGAAAGTAAGGTACGCTATTTAACAGATGCAATATCTACAATTTTCGATGAACACGCTCCTTTTCGAACAGCTAGAATAAGTAAACCTAAAGCACCTTGGTTAACTTCTACATTAAAACTCATATTTAAAGAACGAGATACTACCCTAAAAAAATTTAAATTAAATAAATCCACTGAAAACTGGAACAATTACAAAAGACTTCGCAACTTTGCTTTAGCATCCTTGAGACGAGAAAAATCTGCGTATCTAGAATTTTTAAACAACCAGTCGTCTTCTAAATTTTACAAAGCGCTAAAACAAATGAAAATTAAATCGACAAAAAATATCGATTTACCTTCCTCACTTTCCAATCCTTTTAAAATTAATGAATATTTTTCCTCTGTGTTCCAAGACAGTAATGAAAGATGCTTGGATTCAATTTTATTTTATAGAAGTAACTCCTTTAGTAGAGATATTAAATTTCACTTCAAAACAATAACACTATCTCAACTCTACACTATCATTTTGAATATAAAATCAAATGCTGGTGGTAATGACAATATAAACATGTCAATGTTAAAATTGTGTCTAAATATTATTGACGTTTATCTGCTACATATTATAAACTTATGTTTAGAACAAGGATATTTCCCAGAATGTTGGAGACAAGCTTTGATAATACCCTTACCTAAAAAGCACAATCCTAGTTCATACAATGAACTGCGTCCAATAAGTCTACTGCCTCTAATTTCAAAAATTCTTGAACGTGCAGCCTATTTCCAAATATACGAATATCTTTGTGAAAATAATATAATCCCTTTGCATCAGTCGGGTTTTCAAAAGGGTTTCAGTACTTCAACAGCTTTGGCACATTTAAGTGACAATATTTTCAATAGTATTGATAAGAAAAAAGCAGGTGTCCTAGTTCTACTAGATTTTAGCAAAGCGTTTGACACCATTAATCATAGTCTTCTTAGGTTTCATAAAACCATGCTTAAGTAAACGATCACAGTTAGTTACAGTAAGCGGTCAGAAATCAACATCCATTCAAATCAAATCTGGTGTACCACAAGATTCAGTCCTAGGGCCCCTGCTTTTCTTACTCTATACTTCGGATTTCTACAAACACGTAAATAATTGTGCAGTCCAATTTTTTGCTGATGACACTCAGCTGTTCCTCGATTTTTCGCCGAATGAAGTCATTACTGCAGTTGATAAGATTAATCAAGATCTTAAAAAAATTGATAACTATTCGTCTGATCATAACCTTCACATTAATGCTTCGAAATCCAAACTATAATTATTCTGTAGTAAAAATATTAGACAATATATAAAGAACAATACAACTCTGATGATATCTGGTGAATCTATTCCACATGAAACTGAGTCTATAAATTTAGGGTTATACTTTGACGATCAAATGAGGTTCAGTCAACATGTCAACTATGTGTTACAAAAGTGTTATAGTGGTCTTCGCTTGCTTTATTCTAATAAACACATCCTACAGAACCAATCTATAAAACTAAAACTTTGCCAAAGCCTTGTAATTTCAAAAATATTATATGGAATTGTTGTCTATTATCCTTGTTTAACAGCTGCTGATCGTAACCGTTTGCAAATTATGCAGAATACATGCTGCAGATTCGCAAAAGGACTTAGAAAATTCGATCATATTTCCCAAGCCTTCTCCCAAACTGGCTGGCTAACTGTTAATAATTTATATATATTTATGTTCCTTTCTTTTCTTTTTAAAATACTTTCTACTGCGTCACCATTATATCTTATGAGCAAATTAACTTTTAGATCGTCTACGCACAATGTAAACATAAGAAATAATTTTAATTTATCAATGCCTCGTCACTCTAGTGCTATTTATAATCGTAGTTTTTCGTATAACGCGGTTGTTCTGTACTAGACATGGGTAACGCACTAAAATTCTTTGCGTTGATACACTAACTCCGGCACACTCTATTGCGCCAACTCATTGCGTTAACGCAATTGCGTTATTGCGTCACACCACTGCCTGCCCCGAATGAAGTCGATGCACCTCCGTGTATCGCATGATACCGGTGTTATTCAGCGCGGGCTGTCCTTTTATAAGGGTCAAACCACAAAGCACGTATCTTCTAGAGACCCCACGCCAATGTTAAACTTTTAAACCAAATTAGCGCCACCTTGTGTTTGGAGCTGGAACTAAAATGACAATTGACAGATGGCGGTAAATTCAAATTGTAATTTTTAGGAGTAGGTAGTAGTTTTAAATTAAATTTTAAATGATTTCCACATAAATTATTTTATAAAATAAAGTATGGAACTAGTAAGTTCGAAACTTTTATTTTACAAAATAATTTAGGTCGATTATACCAAATTTGAGGAATTAATTTGTTATAAGTAGGGGTCTGATTTGGAGAGTTGGTTCTGCATATTATTATTAAATAAATATAAGATATATCAATAAATAATAAAATAGAACATTCTTAAAATATGTTTATTAATAACTTAAATAAATATTATTAGATAAAAATAAATACAAATAATACATATTTAACGAATACTTACTTGCAGCAAATAGGTATACAATCTCAAATCTTTAAAATACCTATCAATAATTTAAATGTGAAGTAGAGACTAGGATATTACATTTTATTAACACTAAAATAATATATTTTATAAATGTCTTTTAAACCGAGGACAAATGTAATATAGGTATTGTATTAAACGGTGAATCCTTTTAACTATTCATTCAATGATAAATAGGTATTTGCCTTCCAAACACAGATAGTGGTATTACTTCACTGCTTTGTGTATTACTCTCTTATGTGAAAAATGATTTCGGAATCTAGTCCAGTGATAAATTGATTATCAATTAGTTGTTATACCCGTTTGTCTTTTTATGATGCAGATCCATGGTGAATCAATAAGTTTTTCTCGAAGTTTTCAACGTAGCACCCACAGGTAGCACCAAAATTATTGCAAAAAACACAGTAGGAAATAGAATAGCGAAACATCACAATTTTTCAAATAACTAAGACGAAACTATAAACAGAAACCAAAAGCCAAAGCCAACAAAAAATCACTAAAATCAGACGGAAAAATGAGACTAACCAAAAACATAAATAAATACACCTCACATCTTTGGAGTCTTTGGTTAAGTTTTTCTCCCATAAAGCTTAAAAATGGAGTAAGAAATCAGAATTTCACCAGTAGCCCCATCTAGAGTTTGGAGCAAATAGCATAAAAAATGTCAGTTGTCGGTTTTGACCTTGGTCATTCACGTGGAACCTCTATGTGCTTTGTGGGTCAAACCGTGTTCAAGACAATAACGCAATTGGGAATTTAACTAATTTTTTTATTATTATATGTTTAAAAATAAACGAAAATATGACAGTGTAATGTACCCATTTTTTTATTTCATTGTGTTCGGATTTTACAAAGAATACAAAAATTCCAATTTATATAAAAAGGATATAACTTTTGTATACTAGTAGCCAATCAAAATGGGAAGAACTAAAAACTGACAGTGTACAAGGTTAAAATCCATAAAATTCTACCTACAATCCTACAAATGATGTGACATGTTGCAAAGAACATAATTACTTGATAGATTTTGGGTAATCTGTATTACGAGTTGCATCAATTTCGTAAATTACAATTCTCAACTCGTCACGGAAAATGGAATCAGTGCCTGGCGCATGACGCATCAACAACTCGCGATCCTTTCGACTCAAGTATCGAAAATTGCGTTGCGCTGATACAGTAACAGTTGGTGTATCAACGCT